AGTGAGGTTTTGGAAATTTCCTCCAGTCTTCCTGAAGTGTTCCCACTTCACTCGGACATGGAGCATAAGGCTAGCTTTTTCTAAGGCCTTAAGGTTGTTTAGTTCACTAGATTTGAAGTGAACTAAATAAAAATCATTAGAAATCCCGTTGCGCGAATCGCCAGGACGGGATTTCATTTTCATTTTGATTACTTGGAGTGGAACAACTCCAAGTAATTTTGCCAGTTCATCTTTGATCTGATCCAGGGATTCACCACTGGGCAGTCCTTTCATGACAACCTTGAACACACGTTTAGTTTTGGTGTTGTAAGTAAAAAATTTGTGCTTCTTCTCAGTAAGATACTTGAGAAGACATTTAAATCCGTCCAAGGTTTCAGCCAATACACGGCATTCACCCCGACGTCCAATTTGTAGTGAAAACTTAACTTTCACGAAATTCAAAAGTTCCATGCGAAGAGCATGGAAATCGCTAGTGGTTATCACAATAGGGGGAATCTTTTCCTTCTTGGCATTAAGCCGGGAAAGTTTACTAGAATTTTTCTTGGATGATGGATCATTCTCATCATCCGTGAGCAAATCAAATTGATTACTCAAATTAATTTCATCAGAAGGGGGGTCAAGAGTTTGCCCCTTTCTTTTGCGTTTAGGCGCCATGGCGGCAGTAAATTTTTATCCAAATCGACTTCCAAGCAGATTACTATAAGAATCTGAAGGATCGAAGAGGAATTTTCCAAATCGATATCCAAGAAGGATTACCTCGGGTAGGGTCCAAACAAGGATCGAAGAGGAATAAGAGTTGAACAAGGTAGACATTTTTTACAGGTTGAGCACTGAAAAGTGCTGTTTAAATTTGTTGTAGCTTTAGGTAGTAGTAACACTTCCTTAAGCAAAAAGCAAATAGATCCGCACGGCAAGAGAGCACGATGCGGACTGTTATATTTACTTTGCTAAGATTCTAATTGTAAGCCTTCTACGGCTAATTCAGATTCCAGCACTAGCACTTGAACTTCATGAACCAGTTCCATGAAATCATATAATGTAGTCGTTGTTTTATTGCACACAGGAGCATTAAGAAAGATTTGAACAAACGACACCACCGAAACGGAACATAAATTTGCCAGTGCTATTTTTCTTCACTCTAGCAAAACGAGCATAACGTTGCACTACATTCCATGTCGAGAGAGCTGTTCTTACTTCATGCTAATTGAACGAGCTCAATCTTGAAGTCAGCCGTGGCCCAGTGGAATCGAGCGCAGACACCGAAAGCATCACACCTCAACAGTTCTTGATCGAATCCCAAATCAGCTACAATAAAAAAGACACAACTGTGAAAGCTCCCACTGCCTGATGTTTATTTTTCGATTTATTTTTAGAAATCGATTAAATATATGTGTCAAAAGAAGAAGTAAATTTCATGTGATTTTCACATAAACTTTACTTCGATTGATTTATGACACATATATTATATTGTGGTGAAAAGTAAAGCTTATGCTTATGGGTTTCAAATCCATTTCAGTTAATTATTGTAATTTGACCAATTTTCATTTATCATATGACGATCATATAAATGTTACCAAATTATCTGCATTGTAAATGTATCAGATATTCATATAGAATTTACCTGACACATTTTCAATCATATCATTTTCATTGGATTATCTTATAGCGCAAATTTATTAGACTTTCACATAACAGGAATATGTCATATTGGTTCAGTGTATGGATAAAACAAGAATTTGGAATGGTAATGGTTCTTAACAACCCATTATTTGTAAGGTCCAGTTCCAAAAAACCATAATACATAAGGTTGAAACTTTATCATTAAACGTTCATGTAAAGTTCCATAACCATTTCAGTTAAAGTTTAGCAGGGATTATAAACAATTTTTAACCATTTTAGGTAAGGTCAATTTATGGTTCGCGTTTATGCGGGAATTAAAGCCTATGCGTCTCGAAGGAAGAAAAGAGCTTCGCTCCGTATGATACTGAACTTCCAGTAAGAATCACCTGTAGTGATCCGTCTTCTGCTAGTTGCCTCGCTAAGAAAGCCTATGCGTCTGAAAAGGAATATACACACTTAGAAAAAATCACCGACTTCGGTAATTCATTTACCGAATTCTCAACAGCTGAACGGTCGGTATAATGCTACTAGCATAGAGGTAACTCTAAGACCACTGGGTCCCGAAGAAAATCATTATTATTTTTGGCTCACTCAGGACCAGAACAACGGTCCCAAGCAGTCCCAAGCTAATTCACTCACCCCTGCATGTTCTGCATGAATCCACACACCCCTGATGTTATCTGTCAAACTTTCATAGCGAATCAAAACAAACATAGTGTAGTAATAGAATTTCAACTAGAATAGGGTACGTTAATCGTTTGCTTGGGACCAATAGGCTACTAAAGTGGTGAGCCAATTTAAAATCGTTAGTTTCGTATTGATTGTTGGTACTAGCCCGTATGGGAATGGTTCTTCCCCTCTGGTTTGAGGTTCGATTAAATTTGCAATCTATGTTTGTTTATACTAGCGTTTATCGACGCGAGCCGCGGTGTGCTTTGGGTTTAATTTGTCACGTCGGTAGCACGAACCATCAAAATGCACCGCTTTGCTCGATTGGAACAGCTTTTTTTTCAGTTTTGTGGTGACAGTCGTCCATACTTTAACTAGAGGGCTTTAGTTATGCGAGGTAGGCGACGATTGTTCGTATTTGACAGCCACCTCCCCTCCTTGGATTTCCCCCGAGATTTCTCGCGTCACTTTTCAAATAGACCAATGTAACAAATGTAAACAAATCGAGTTAAGCGATACAAACTATTGCTCTTCTATCATTGTATGTGATACAAAAACATCCATCCAAATTTACTCTCATTTACCTGCTCATTTATTTAAGATAATCATTGATCAAAAATCGTCCAATGTACAGTTTGAAATGATGGGTATATGATTGTTACTTCGGTCATTCGGACTGCCTAACATGATTGGTGCTCGTTTTCCAAAGGCGGGGCCAATCTAAATTTAGGTACTATACTCTGAAATCTGTGAAAGGGAATCTAGTATCATGTAGACAAAACGTCCAATGTAACACTCATTGATTATGTCATTGAGAAAAATCGTCCAATGTAACAAGACCGATGTACAACTCGACTTGTCAAAACGTTTTATGTGATTTTTTCTACACGAAACGAAAATCAATTATTTTATCCATGTGTTTCACTTATACATTTTTGCCAAAACATCAGCCTTATACCAATAATCAATACGAAACTAACGATTTAAAATTGGCTCACCACTTTAGTAGCCTATTGGTCCCAAGCAAACGATTAACGTACCCTATTCTAGTTGAAATTCTATTACTACACTATGTTTGTTTTGATTCGCTATGAAAGTTTGACAGATAACATCAGGGGTGTGTGGATTCATGCAGAACATGCAGGGGTGAGTGAAATAGCTTGGGACTGCTTGGGACCGTTGTTCTGGTACTGAGTGAGCCAAAAATAATAATGATTTTCTTCGGGACCCAGTGGTCTTAGAGTTACCTCTATGCCTATACCACAAACGAAGTGACAGACGACAAACTGGCGAAGAAATCAATTAAAATAATGTGGTTCACTGTAATAGAATTTTCTTAGAAGCTTGTGCCATCATCCACCAGATGGGATAGTATTTTTGTTTTGGTTTTGCACAAAGTTGATTTTGTGTACAATGATTATTTGACAGTGTGCAAAGAGTGCGTATCATTTTGTCATTTTTTTAAGCATTTCAGTTTTGAGTAGAGTGAAAGAGATAGAACCAAAAAATTCTAGTACATTTGGTGAAAATGCTAGTTCAATCCAGTAGTAGTGTTGCCATGTGGTTCAATCCAGTAGTAGTGGTGTTACCATGTGGTACACTGAAAAATTGCAATAGCAGGTTAGTCACCAAAGTTTTCGAGCCGCTCCGTCTGTCACTTCGTTTGTGCTTCCATTCCATTCCATAAGACATATAACATAGGTCCTATAAGAATGCATACAAGGTATGTGTGACCGCTTATACATTTCATTTGACACATGATCTTTATTAACTTTTTGGAAGGCGTCTGCTTATTAGTTGACTTATACATTTTATGAATAATCAGCAATAGAAATTTGCCAAAAGGTATAAGGAGATTTCTATCCGTGTATGTTGTTGCATGAAATTCAAAGTAAAATTGTGATTTTACCCGAGGGGGGCGACACATCTAAATCTCAATTCTAGATCCTTAAAAAACCTCACACTAGCGAATAAATCTTCGAAAAATCTTCTTTCATTTCTCGCATCTACTTGCATCGAGCATCATCTTTTTGCAGGAAATCTTCAAAATCGTGATAAATCTTCTTTCTACACGAAACGAAAATCAATTATTTAATTCATGTGTTTCACTTATACATTTTTGCCAAAGCATCAGCCTTATACATTCCATAAAACAAACCACATAGGTCCTATTAGAATGCATAAAAGGTATGTAAGCGGTCACACATATATTTCATTTGACACATGATCTTCATTAACTTTTTGCAAGGCGTCTGCTTATTAGTTGACTTATACATTTTATGAATAATCAGCAATGGAAATTTGCCAAAAGGTATAAGGAAATTTCTATCCGTGTACTCAGCGTACGCGCAGTTAGCCACAGCAAAACACAATATTTCCTGCATCGTAGATAGAGTCGTCCCCCTCGATTTTACCGTTTCTTCTGAATTTTCAACGTTATTATACACTGACTACATTAAAAATAGTATTGCAAAATGTATTGTTTTTCAACAGTTAAAATAATAAGCTGTCGAACTTCAACTTCGATTTTCTCAAAATGGTGGATATGTTACATTGGTCTATTTGAAAAATGACGCGAGATTTCCCCCTTGAATGATGTTGGTGATTTCGCGCAGTGTAAAAGTCTACACACTCTCTTGTTTGGATCACCCTGTCTGTAACCAAGCAACAAAACCCGAACCACCGCGTCTAAACCGAACCGAAGCGGAATGCGCGCGCAATCAGATTGGAGCTGCTCATCAGACGAAAAATCGAAATGGCAGCGTGACCGGTTGAATACAAGTTTTTTCCTGTTTGTAGCGTTTTGTTATAATCTAGATATATACCGATTATAATTTTATTCACTGGACGATTTGCAAAAGTCACGTTAATTAGTTTAATTCCTATTGAGATGGCAGAAACCATGGACGATTGCACCAATATGGAAAAGCAACAGTTCGATTTCATCGTGGACATGGATTCGAAGGAGCAGGTCGACAGGAAGGTAAGATGCTCACTCTTGAATAGTTTTTAGTTACGTGATGCTTTGTTTAATATGTACCTACCCGAATTGTATCACTAAATGGAATAACGTGAACACTCAAAATTATATGGAAATTTCCCCGTTTTACGTTTGTTCCGGATCTTCCGGAGGGTCGTTTTGCATCACTGAACCTTGAAATTCTGTTTGCTTGATGATTTTCTTTGACCATAATATTATTTGTTTTATAACATCAAGTAATCTGCTGATCTTTTTGCACCGATGGCATTCATCCTTTCTGTCCCATAAGAGATTTTCCGATTACGGTATATCCGGTACATAAATCGATATAAAAAAAAATAATCTCTTTCTATTTGCCTGAAGCTCGAGTTTGTGAGGACAGTTGATTATTATTTGATTGAAAAAAAAACGGTACTAGGCACAACAAAGCATTCATGCGACAGAACTTAAATCCGTTCCTTCCGTAGCTTCGCCGTCGCCATTCAACGACTCCGAGCGATGTCATCGAAGGAAGCTCGTCCAGCAACCAGTCGACGGAGGATTCATGGGGTGATCGTGAATATCAGGAAGCCATATCTCGGGATCGGCTGCGTCAGTTGGAATACCTCGAGGGACGGATGTCGCACTTTGCCGAGTTTACCGAGCATAGAGATCTGGACCGAAATTCGCGCCGCAAACTACTGGCAGCAACGGGTGAGTCGGTGGAAGGTTCCAATAACAATCGTGCTGCAAAACTAAAAGCACGGGCTACGATGGATCGACAGGAAATGGTTCAATACACCGAGTCACCTAAGTTCATCCAGGGACAAATGCGGAATTACCAGATTGAAGGACTGAATTGGTTGATTTCATTGTATCAAAACGGCATCAATGGGATTCTGGCGGACGAGATGGGGTTGGGCAAGACTCTGCAGGCGATTTCGATTCTGGGATATCTACGCAACCACAGGTGGGTAGCAAATAATCTTTTGTGATGGGTAATGGTTTAACTTTGGGTTGTGTTTCAGAAACATTAAAGGGCCTCACCTAATTATCGTTCCCCTATCGACGATCGGGAATTGGGTGCGGGAATTCAACCGTTTTCTGCCGGCCGTTCGCATTCTACATGGGCACTGCCGCGGAAGTAAGACACAGTTTCGTGAAACTCTTACATCCCCGCATCGTAATTGGGACGTGGTAATTACTCCGTATCAATTTTTCACTGCAGAGCACACATATTTTAACAAATTAAAATATCAGTACTTAGTGCTGGATGAAGCTCAGCGCTGTAAGAATGAGAATTCACTACTATCCAAGAGAGTGCGCCGTACTACATACCGCAATCTGCTGTTCATGACCGGGACACCCATCAACAACAACCTACATGAGTTATGGGCGTTGTTAAATCTATTGCTACCGGACTTTTTCCGCAATTCCGAAGACTTTGATGAGTGGTTCAAGGTAGAAGATTGCATCGACCCAGACCACGAACGAGCGGTAAGATTGAAGAAAATTCTGCAACCAATCATGATGCGCCGCATTAAGTCCGATGTCGAACTTACTATTCCACCGAAAATTAAAACGACTATGTACATTCCCCCGACGCGAGAGATGAATTATTGGTCCAAGAAAGTGCTCTGTAAGGATATCAAAGTGCCGAAAGGGGACGGAACGACTGGTAACTTCATAATGAGGATTGTATTTCCATATCTGCGTGAAGTAACTCTGCATCCCTATTTGATACCAGGAGCTGAATCGACATTATCTGATCTAGTCGGGCAAGACATAGTTGACGTTTCGTCTCGAATGGTTGTTCTGGACAAACTGCTTACGAAACTTCGCAAACGTGGTGCTCGTATCCTACTGTTTTCGCAGATGGCCATAATGCTAGATATTCTGCAAGATTACTTAGAGTGGAAGGGCTACAAGTACCATCGAATGACGGGAAACACTGAACAGAGATTCAGACAGGAGATGATCGATGAGTTCAATTCCCCTGATTCAGACACGTTTATTTTCTTGATTACCACCAGAACGGGTGGGGTCGGGATCAACTTGCACACGGCCGACACGGTAATTTTCTATGACATCGATTGGAACCCTCAGGCGGACTTCCAGGCCGAAGACCGTGCCCATCGCATCGGGCAATTGAAACAGGTACATGTGATACGGTTCACCGTGTCCGGAACAGTCGACGAATACCTTCACGATTGTTCCAATCGGAAGCAAGCCCTGGATAAAGCAATCATTCGGAAAAGCCTTGGCGATTGTGTCGAGTTCCAAGCAATCGAACACCACAAAAGGAAGCTCGAAAGCGTCAACTGCCTTGACGTGGCGGCCGTCGATGAGCAGCTGAATGAAATGTTTAAGGAGATCGATCGCGGTGAAAGGAATGCCAAGAACGACACTCTGCTGAAACAAATTCGCTTCCGATCAAAGAAGTCGCGGTCACGATCGGAGGAGCGCGAGCTGGAAAGTATTAAACCTCCGGTTGAGTCGGTGCCGGAGTTCGATCTGGATTCCACTACATATCGTTTGCGTCCGCGCAAGCCGAAGATAGCCCGGCTGGAATAGATGTTTTAATCTGTATCGTTCAATTTGCATTTGACCACGCTACTCAGTTACCTATTTGCTTGTTAGTTTGTTTCTGTTTTGTTCATTCTAGTTAGTTACCACTGCGAGACGCTTGTCAATGATATTATTTTCTGTTCTATGTACTTCGAATAAACTGACGTAACGAATAAACAATAGTGAATGCTCAATGTATGACCATCTTGTGCCACGTTGGAACCTTTCAATATTTTGTTATCATTGTTATTGTGCCATACTGAAGGGGAGAACCTGCCAAGCAGCAATTTTCGTTTTATTGAAATTTTATAATTGTTCATAAAGCCAAATTATAAAAAAAATCACTAACGACTACATTGTTTTAACAACTTTCTGATGACCGCTATATAGCCATGTAATGGCCAATTAGCCCAGTTGTAATGCAACCATTAAAACTGCGAACCAGCTTAGGAGCATCGGTTTTTTTTATCTAGTTCGTTTATTTGTAAGGCTCCATCGCGTTAGCTTTACGGAGCCGATAATTCATTGTTCTTTGTTTGTAACAAAGTTCACTTAATTCTATGTCTAGTAGGAGTTGGGCCGAATACTCGCGGCTTACTCGAGGTTAGAGGGGTACATTGTCGAAGGATAGGAAAAGGGAAGGAGCTTGGGGTTTCGTTGCCTCACCAGAGCGATGTAGCCAGTATGAACGGTAGTATGGTTCTAGATTCGTCTTGAGTTCGACCGGCTATGGTGACCAGTGGGAGACGATGAGATTCATCGAGACGGGGGACAAGACAAACAAAAACTAATTTGTTTATTTGTTTATTTGTTATGGTTGCATCAACAGACTAGAAATAGTCCCAATGATGTGTTGTAAAAAAGTACAGATTATACAGACGACATACATATACTACAGTTACTACAGTTACAAACGAAAATAACTTGGAAAGCATTGTCAAGTTACTAAAAATTTATAAGTCTTAAATTTTACACTTAGCTGTTGGGTATCAAGCGCCTTCGGTCAGCAAAAAAGGCAGAGAATCTTCGGCGAAGCATATTCCGTGTCAAGTGGAAATCGAACATCGACGCTACTCGGTTGAACACTAGCTGCAAGCCGTAAATAGCGCTCCCTATGCTATAATTAGTTCGAAGAAGTGGAAGTCTCAGCATAAGACTGTTGCGTAGTGATCGAGGTTGAACATTAATGTTCACTTGTTGAAGAATTGCTTCGCAGTCGATTCTTCCTTGCAGAGTATCGGCGACGGTTAAGGCTCTGAAAACATCTCTTCGGATACGTAAGGGCTCGATATTGATCAATTGGCAGCGATTCTCGTAGCTTGGAAGACGAAGTGGGTATCTCCAAGGTAGCTTACGGAGCGCGAAGCGAACAAAACGTCGTTGAACAGATTCAATTCGCTCGGCCCCATTATTGTAGTTCGGGCTCCAGACAGCAGAGCAGTATTCCAACGTAGATCGTACGAGAGAGCAATAGAGCGATTTCAAGCAGTAAATGTCCGTGAAGTTCTTAGTAATCTTGAAGACAAAGCCAAGCGTTCTGGACGCTTTGTCGACGACATACGATATATGGTGTGAGTATGTCAGCTTTGAGTCTAGAAAAACGCCTAAGTCTTTCACGCAGTGCACCCGTTCGATAGTCGTGCCTAGTAGTTTGTGGTTGAAAATAATCGGTTGTACACTTAGCTGGGTTGACCACCAGTCGGTTTAGACTACACCAGTCAGCAAAGATGTCAATCTGATTTTGGAGAGAACGGCAGTCGGCGAGTGAGCGGATGCGCAGAAAAACTTTCAGATCGTCTGCAAACGATAATCGTGGCTCTGTGATAACATGGTGAACGTCGTCGAAGTAGTAGTAGTAGAGGAGAAATACCAATGGTCCCAGATGGCTACCCTGAGGTATACCGGACTTTGCGCAGAAGCTTGCTGAGCGACAAGTAACCAAAGTTACTGTCAATTGGCGCTCCGTGAGGTATGAACGAAACCATCTCAAAAGATTTCCACCGATCCCTAGCCTATCAAGCTTAGCGATCGCAATTTCGTGGTTCAGCTTATCGAAGGCTGCCGTAAGATCTGTGTAGATAACGTCCGTTTGGGTCCGAGCAATCAAACTGTCTGTGATGTAAGACGTTAGGCACAGCAGGTTCGTAGTTGTGGAACGCCCAGTTATGAATCCGTGTTGATCTGTACTTAGATATTGCCTGCAATGCGCATTTAGGGACTCTATGACAACCAATTCAAAAAGTTTTGATACAGCACTCAGCGAAGTGATTCCCCGGTAGTTGTTTACGTCGCGTTTGCTTCCCTTTTTATGAACAGGAAACATATCCGCAGTCTTCCAGCAAGACGGAAAGATGCCGCTGGAAAGAGAGAGCTGGAATATGCGGCGCAGTGGATCTAAAAGACAAGTGATGTTCTTTTTAAGAATAATCGACGGAACACCATCGGGTCCAGCCTTAGTTGAAGTCTTAAGTTTAGATGCTGCTCTAGAGATCGTATCTGTAGTGGCTTCGACCATGCTGAGCGTTTGGTTGATCAAAGGAACATTACTGGCCGCGGAAGTAATGATATTAGCGGAGAGTTGCTCGGCTTCAAACACACTAGCAAATTTGGCTGAGAACAGGTTGCAAATGTCTTGTTGATTTCCAGCAGTTTCACCATTAAAAATCATGGAAGAGGGTAAGCCGACTTCCCTGCGTTGCTCATTTACGAAGTTCCAGAAGGATTTCGGGTGTGATTTTAGCCGCCGTTGAATCCTCCTTTGATAGCGTTGAAAACAGAGACGACTTAACCGCTTATACTCGTGGTTGAGTCTGACATAGTAGCATTTCAGTGGCAGTGTGCGGAGTTTAGTAAATCTTCTGAGAGCAGCCTTCTTAGTTCTTTTCAACGAGCGAAGATCTTTCGTCATCCACGGGACGCGAGAGTCGATATGGATGATCTTTTTGGAAACGTGTCTGTCAATGACATATGCCAAGACGTGAGAAAAGGTTTGTGCAGCAATGTTGACGTCTACAATAAAGAGATACAATAGCATAGGTTTTATTTCAGTTATATGCTGGGCGTTGGCCAAATTTGGATTTTTCAGATATAATCCTAAATAGGACCTAGATTATTTAATACTCTAGTAACCTCAAGTCCGTGCTCTGTCACAATGTTTCATTGTGATTAATCAACACTCAGAGGGGTAAAATATAAAATTTGGGTAAATTTGAAAGAAAGGGAACTTGGAGTGTAGAGCGCACTGCCCACTGGACGATTCTGAAGCCTGGCCAAGTGAGTGGGGTATGGGTTTATTTCCTTGAACGTCATTTCCAATGTATATATTGATACATTCAAACCATTGGCATTTGAGATAAGACAGAGATAGGATGCGGAGGGCCCGCTTAGGAGGAGCGTAACCCATGTTATGGTTTCCATTTATTAAATAGTTCAGATAGGCTAGAAATGACAGGTTTATAGTGAGAGAATGTACCATATTGGGAAAGCATATTTTCATAGGGTTCAGAGTGGCTGAGGTGTTCGTTTGTAGTTTGACCTTCCTTCAAAACCAATTTGGCTCTAGAACAATTTTAAATTTGTTCTGCATTATTCACATGTTGCAATTATTGAAAAGAGCTCGATATAAGATGGCCACAGAGAACAGACGTTGAGGCTCCAAAATTTCTCTAAAAATTTGTGTAAAGATTCCTATTCGACTTAAGCGCCACTAACGGCGACTTCCCCACTTAAAAACCCTCTTTGACAACATGATGGCGCTGGCGTTGCACAAATTACACTAGACACTAAGTGCTAGTAGCGCCAAGTGGCAATTTTCAACAGAAAATGTATCGATACTAGCGCCAAATTGGTCGAAAGTGGAAAATTTATAGAGAAAATCAGGAGATGCTACACACCAAATTTTGTTATTAAGTTCCAGCAAAACGAATTGCTGGATCACTTCCAGCAAAATCAAGTTTTGCTGGAAAATCAGTAATCTGAAAAATTTTACTGGATGTTCCAGTAAACAACACTTTGCTGGACTTTCAGCTCGGCAAAATCCAGCAAAATATTGCTGGTTTTCAGCGATAAAAAATGGGTATGTAACACCATAGAGGCACAAACGAAGTGACAGACGGAGCGGCTCGAAAACTTTGGTGACTAACCTGCTATTGCAATTTGTCAGTGTACCACATGGCAACACCACTACTACTGGATTGTACCACATGGCAACACTACTACTAGATTGAACTAGCATTTTCACCGAATGTACTAGAATGTTTTGGTTCTATCTCTTTCACTCTACTCAAAACTGAAATGCATAAAAAAATGACAAAATGATACGCACTCTTTGCACACTGTCAAAGAATCATTGTACACAAAATCAACTTTGTACAAATCAAAACAAAAAACTAACCCATCTGGTGGATGATGGCATAAGCTTCCAAGAAAATTCTATTACAGTGAACCACATTATTTAAATGGATTTCTTCGCCAGTTAGTCGTCTGTCACTTCGTTTGTGATAGAGGTAACTCTAAGACTAGAAGGTCCCGAAAAAACGTGCTCAACTTTTTGGCTCAGCTCTGGTACTCTCTTCGGTCCCAAGCTAATCGATTCACCCCTCGAAACATAGGAAAAACCAATAACCCCTCATTTTATCTGTCAAACTTTCATAGCGAATCAAAACAAACATTGCGTAGTACTAGAATTTCGACAAGAATAGGGTAAGTTAATCGTTTGCTTGGGACCAATAGGCTACTAAAGTGGTGAGCCAATTTAAAATCGTTAGTTTCGTATTGATTGTTGGTAACGGCGACGTTCCCACTTATTTTACACAAGTTTCTGACCGAGCTTGAACGTCTGTTCTCTGTGATATAGATGAATACAATTAATTACATCATTTGTGTGGTAGTTACACCGAAAAGTCGAGAGATGTCGCCCCGCCAGTGCTGGTAAAATCATTTTTGCAGTATTGGCGTCTTGCAGTGAAACTTTTCCAAGATTTCGCCACCTACATTTCGAAGTGAGAACTACTAGAAGGAGGATAGTTTCCAAATTCTCCAAGTAAAACAGACGATTTTTGGGGCAAATCGGTCCATAAAGAAAAACTAATAATTTCCGGTGGATACTTTTGCTTGAATCGTGTAAGAAAACGTGTTTGCAAACTAACTGTTATTATTTCGGTATGGATCGGAGATGTTTTCATGGAAAATTATGCATAACAAGTTTGCACCCACAGGGAGAGGTTACCTCCTGCGCAGCTGCATTTTTCGGAAAATGGTGAATATGTGCGATTTCCACTAGGATGAAAGTGGAAATTAAGTGAATTTACT